GTAGATTGATGTGAGTGAATGACAACTAAGTCTTAACACATTTGTTGATGAATGAGGGATTTTGATTTGAGTACTATACACTGAAGCAAAAATTGAGAATGGATGACATACTTCTCTTTTATGTATAAAATATTTTGCCTTGATCATGGTTTACAGTTTACTCATAAGAGTTTATATTCACCTTCTGCTTGGAAAAAAAACATATGCTCATTAATTTTCAAATAGCTTTGGTGTTCTGAATGCTGTGATTTGTGCTGGAGGTATACATGTAAAGTTTTTTTGTAAAATGCTAACTGAGCAAATCAATAGTTAGGGTTGAATATATATGTGTATCAGTTAGCTGTTGCCAAAATAATGCTACATGTTACAGGCTTGGATTCTGAGAAACAGACTCTAAGATGGAGATTTGTATGTAGGCAATTTATTAGGAGTCAACACCTGTGGAAGAGAAAGGAAGGAGGCAGGATTGAGCAGAGGAAAAAGGTGGGCTGTGGTACAGTATGAATGAAGGCCTCAGCCAACTTCCTGGGACACTTTGAAGCATTGTCCCAAATCAGCATAATAGGTGAGACCTTTGTATTCCTGCATCATTGGGTGAAGACAGTCCCAGGAAGAGGGCATGGCCTTGGGTGTTGAATCTTTCTTTAATCGAGATCATTCCAGATGTGATAGCTGAGGGCTGTCTGCTCACAGCACATCTAGCATGGAGTGAATAAGTTCTTTATTCTCAAAAGGGAAAACATGATATTTATTACACTACCCAGTATTTCAGTAGCTTATAACAACAAGCATTAAGTCTTAAATACTCCTGTGCAGATTGTCTAGGATTCTGCTGAACTAGACTGGGCCACTTTAGGTGCCAAGCTGCAGAGTCCAGATCTGCTCCATGTAGATCTCAACCTCTGGTGGAAAAAGCCAGTAGCTCAAGAGGGCAAGTCCAGACATGGAAACACATGTCAAGGCTCTATTACGCCACATATCCTGAGCATCTTACTGCCAGTCAGGTCACATGTCCAGGCGCAGTATCCGTGGAGTAGAAGAATGCTCTCCTATGGAGGTCCAGGGGAGGGAGCGAATAAATTTGCTGAATAATAATCTAGTCTACCATAGTGTGATTCTACTTAATGAACAAAAGATGAGAATTTCACTGCCAAGATTTCATTGTCAGTCTTTCTCCTAAAATACTTCTGTTTGTCATCTCCATCTGTTATGAATGAGATGAAATGTGACAACACCTTCACCACTATTTGGCAGAGAGAACAGCTTGTGCTCAGTTCTTATGATTTTTTAAATTTAGATTTGAATGGATCTTGTCGTGTGTATCTGTATCTCTATTGAAAACATGGTATCTTTGCAAAGTATCTAAGAGGGAAGACTTCCAGTTTTTTTACATTTAGTCTTTAAGTTCTTTGTCTTTAAATTGAGGTATACATACAGTGAAGTGTATTAAGTACACTTAGGTGCATAGCTTATAAATTATGTGTGTGTACATTCATGTAATCATCACCCAGATCTAGGTAAAGAGCCCTACCAGAATCCCAAAATGTTCTATCGTGCCTCTCCTCAGTGATCACCCCCCTACCCCCTGCATCTGACGTAATCATTATTTTGACTTCTCTTACTACTGAGTGTTACTTTTCTCAAAATCCATCTAAATGGAATCAGCCACAGGCACCTGGATCATTTAAGCGACCAGCTCTTGATTTCTGCTTGGGTCATGATCTCAGCGTCCTGGAATCAAGTCCCATGTGGGGCTCCGTGTTCAGTGAGGAGTCAACTTGAGATTCTCTCCCTCTCCTTCTCCCTCTGCCCCTCCTCCCACTCACGCGCATGTACTCACTCTCTCTCTAAAATAAATAAGTAAATCTTAAAAAAATAAATAAATGGAATCAGCCAGTGTGTTCTTTTACATGTGTAGCTCTTGAAATTTTTTACTATCTTACTGATAAACCATAAGTCATATGTCAAACTCCCGTGTCTTAGCCTACTTCTGAGAATCTTCACTTAATGTTGTCTCAGTCTGTGTTTTACTTACAGTATAGCTCTTTAGGATAAGATTGGATTATATAAAAGTCCATTCAGAAGGAGCCACCTAGAGATGCCTGGGTGGCTCAGTCGGTTAAGCCACTGCCTTCGGCTCAGGTCATGATCTCAGGGTCCTGGGATCGAGTCCCGCATTGGGCTCCTTGCTCAATGCGGATCCTGCTTCTCTCTGCCTCTGCCTGCCACTCTGCCTGCTTGTGTCTCTCTCTCTCTGACAAATAAATAAATAAAATCTTCTAAAAAAAACAACAAAAAAAGGAGCCACCTATATGTGTCAGAAAGATGGAGTGCGTATGGACTCCTAGCACATAATTTGATCCTCTGGTTTCTTTATGAAGTTGGTCATCAGTGTCAATAAAATTATTCCCTAGGAATTCCACAGTGCATATGTCTGATGGGATGTTTATTTTCTACACATACCGATCACGACAACACTCTCCTCTGGGCTGGGTTTCAAAAGTGGGCTTTGGGGGTTTCAGAGCCTCCAGTCAGCTGTAAGTTGGACCCATTCTTTCCATTTGATTTGTGACAGAGCAGGAGTTAGTCTTCTGAAGGCAAATGCTTATTACTTCAGTGTTCAGTAACACTGTAAAGAAAAGAACCTTTGTAACAATCTAATCAACAGTTGAATCACTTCACATTTTGGTCATAATCACTTATAAAGGCTATGATATTACTTTGGTTCTTTGAAACCTTATTAGATAATAGCCTGTCATTTTTAAAAAGTGCCTGTAAGAAAAGCCTTTTCATTCATCTCACATGAACAAAAGGCTGAAAATCCTTTCATGCTTTGAGTGGCTGGTATAATATCAGCTGAGAAAAACTCAATTCTGTGACTTTTGGTTTCAGAGCACCTGTTAATTATAAAAATGACTTCTACCTCCTGAGGAATCTCAGCAGCACAGTTAATTGGTGTAATTATTGATTTTGAATACCACTGAATCTTTTTCAGTTTTGTTACCCATCGTAAATTTAGTTTCAAAAATAATTGTTTATAGTAATAGATTACTAATTGAAGGGATCCCTAAATGCTCTTGGACTCTGTTTTCACTTTCTTAGATCAGTTATCTAGAAACAGTAATTTCAGGGACGATGTAAAGTGTTTAGCATTGTACAGTAAGTACTTGAACTGTTGAATCTGTCAAGGGGGAAGGTTAGCTAGAAAAGTGTTCAGTTGATTCTCAAGTTTGCAGAGCACAGGCAAAGAATAAAGATCAATTGTAACATTTTTGTAACCCTTGCTGCAGAAGAGTGGGAAGAAATTCTCTTGAAAATTGAAGTTATTATTCCATGATTGTGATACATACAGCAATAAGCCTATACATGGCCAGTGGTCTTAGCTGTGATTGTAACTAGGAAATAGATAATGAAATTCCTACTTGCTTTTGTTTTGTGGAGTCTGGTGATTTAGTTAAGAGAGATGCTAATCCTTGTTAAAGCAGTTAGTTACCATACCTTAAACTTGTCTGTATGTCCTAAATCCTGTCTTTAGTTCTGTCAACAAATTTCTATTCTAGACCTTTTCCAATGTCTTAATGTATGACAGTGTAAAATTTTTTTAAAGATTTTATTTATTTATTTGAGAGAGAGAGACCTGCATGAGTCGGGGGGAAGGACAGAGGGAAATGGAGAGAGAGAAGCAGACTCTCTACTGAACAGAGAACCTGACACACAGCTCAATCCTACAACCCTGGGGTCATCACCTGAGCCGGAGGCAGACCCCTAACCGACTGAAGTCACCCAGGAGCCCTAAATACGTCTTTTTAGTGCATACTGTAGCCAGTAATTCTTTTTAGTAGGTGACTATGATATTTGAGCTAGTTTTATATTCTTGTATGAATAAGGAACTCGCTTACAAGCTACATTTTAAGGGCTGTGTTATCCAGTAGATGTGATGCTATCCCCATTTTGTGAAAATTTCAGAAGATACTTTGTGTATAAGGTCCAAGACTTGGCTTTCATGTGTTAGAAAGTTTAAATAGAACTAGTTCTAACTTGGGAAGGATTTGGTCACCTTGCCAACCAAATCTGGGCCACACCTATATGCTTATCCAGACACAGCAGAGCCAATCATCCCCTTTTGCAGTTTTCCTGCCGCGCATACCAGTGTGCATATATGTTATGAATGAATCTTTCTCTCTGGTAGAAAAACCATCTCAAGTTTTTCAAAGTTTAAAGTTTTGGAACCTAAGTTTATTCACTGCTTTTGATGGGCAGAAGAATGTCTTTTAAGTAAGCTAGACCCAAGGGACTTTTGCAAAAAGCTTGGTGTATGTTCCTTATCTGTCTTCCTTTCAGATGACTCTTCCTATCACTGTCTCTTGAAATGTATAGGAAACCCTCACAGCCTAGTTGATGCAAGCAAGCCTGGTCATCTTTTCTTGGTCTTAAAAAATCCTAACCCAGTTACTGTTTTTGCATGGATATGTACTTTTGTTTCACTTAACATGGATGTATAGTTTTGTTGTGTCACCTCCGTTCTCAATTCCATTGTTTTCTCTATCTCTCCTTCTTAGGACATCATTCTCTTAATCCAACCTGAGAGTTGTTTTTCCCTCTCTGGTATATCATCTCTTTTTCCTTTATCAAGGAAGGCTGTGCCAGCCCTGTGCAGTAGCTGAAGTGATTTTGGTAACCAAGAGGTTGGTGAAATTTACTGGCTTTCCAGTGTAATTACTTAGAGGCCCTGACTCTTCACAGGCAGGTTACTATAACAAATGAATGCATTTTTAAAAATACCCATCTTATAAGGTACAAATCAGCATTTTCTTAAAGTAATAAATGGTAATATAAGGTCATCTGAGGTTTAAATTTTTCTTTATTTTGTTACTTAAAAAACAAACACCTAAATATATTAGTGTTAATTTTAAGTGCATCATGCATTTTAGTATTTCTGTTCTTAAATAACCTAGCAAGTTTGCATTTCTGACCAATCTTTTCTATTTTGTTTTCTTTAGTTTCACGCTATGGATACGTTGTATAGGCACAGCTATGATTTGAGCAGTGCAATTAGTGTCTTAGTACCACTTGGAGGACCTGTGTTATGCAGAGATGAAATGGAAGAGTGGTCAGCCTCTGAAGCTAGTTTATTTGAAGAGGCACTGGAAAAATATGGCAAAGACTTCAATGACATACGTCAAGACTTTGTAAGTAGAAGATTGCAAATAAAATGTTGGGGTGGGAATATTTTGTCTTTATTAGGAATCTAGTAAACCATTTAGCAAGCTCGTGACTTAGTAATTTTTATCTGCTCCACTTAGAATGAAGGCTGGTGGTACAGAGGGAGAAGTTAACATTTGTTTTGGGAAGTAATTTTAAGACCCAAGGTCAGGAAGCTCTGAGTTCCAGGGTTAAAATATGGATAGCTTTTCTCACTGTTTGCACTAAATATTTTTCTGAGCTCTGCTTTTTAAGTTTGTTGCTCTCCTTTAGACCTTGTAAATTTTTCTAGTTACCTTACTAATTGTTGAGCCTAAATTTGATGTGGACCTTTAATATGGAAACAGCCTATACCAAGCAGAATAGGAAAATTCACTTTATAGGTTTTCAATCCTTGACTCCTCTTAATGATACGTGGTATCTTACTTGGATTTTAAATACTGGATAATCTTATCTACTATTATATACTTCCTTTTGTCTTTGTATTTATGGAATTGTTCTCTTTAATTAAGCTTATAACCTCTTTGAAATGGGGAAATTTCTATTTGAGTAGTCCATGGATAGCATTCTAGGGCAATCATCCTTTCTAGATTATCCAGTTTGTGGGTATATAATTGTTCATACCATTCTCTCGGGATCTTTTGTATACTTGCAGTATCAGTTGTAATGTCTACTCTAGTTTTCATTTCTGAATTTATTGCAGTCCTCTCTTTTTCTTGGTCTAGTTAAAGTTGGTCAGTTTTGTTTATCTTTCCAGAAAAGCAACTCTTAGTTTCATTGATCCTTTCTATTGTTTTTCTGGTTTATATTTCCTTTATTTCTCCTCTGAACTTTGTTGTTTCCTCCCTTCTGCTAACTGGATATACTCTCTTTTACTGATTTTTCTTTTTCTTTTTTTTTTTTTTCCACTCTAACCAGATAATTTCTAATGACCTGTCTTTGAGTTCACAGATTCTTTTTTTCTGCTTGCTCATGTCTGTTATTGCTGTTCTGTATTGTATTTTTCATTTAATTCCTTGTATTCTTCAGCTTTAGAATTTTTGTTTGTTTTTATGATGTCTTTCTCTATTGAGTGTCTTATTTTGTTTATTGTTTTCCTGATTTTGGAGTCTGTCTCACAATTTCAGTTCTATCTGTATTTTCTTATAGCTCACTGAGCTTCCTTAAAACCCTTATTTTGAAATCATTGTCAGGAAATCACAGATTTTCGTTCCTTTGGGGTCAGTTACTAGAAAATTACTGTGTTTCTTTGGGAATGTATTTTTCATCTTTCTTGTAACCTTGTGTTGGTGTTTGTGCTTTTGATTGAGTAGGCACCTCTCCCAGAATTTAGCGACTGGTTTTAGTGGGGAGAGACCCTCCTCCTGCAGTGGGTTCAAGGGCGCTGGAAGGGTGGGTATGATGGTGCCAGCTCTTGGGAAGGCCCAGCATCTTCAACAGCCAGTGCTTTGGGTGTCTGCAGCGGCAGTGAAGGCTCTTGGGGTCTTTGATGGCAAAGGCTGCTGGGGACCTCCTGATCTCTTTCTGTCCCATGGGATATATAATTGCCAAAGGAATCCCTGTTGGCATTGGACCTGGCTTTGAAGTACCCTTGCTGTGGCAGCGAGCATGAGGTATGAGCATGCTTGGATCGGCTACAGAGCCAGGCGTGGAGCATGGGGGCTTGCAGAGTGACAGCATTCTGGGGTCTGGTGTGCTAGCTCACCTGCAGTGTCCGTGCAGAGACTGGAGCACATGTGGAGCGGCCATAGAATCGAGGTCTGAAGTGTGGGTGTGTGAGGAGCAGCCAGAGCTCTGGGGTCCTAGGTGTGCACAGGCTTGGAGGTCTGGGCTGACAGCCCTGTTCCTGGGGTGGGGACACAGCAATGTCTTGTGGGAGGGGCGCAGCAGCGTTTCCCTCTCGGCGAGGTCAGTATCAGCAGTGGCTGTTGGTTACCTCAGTGGCAGAAGCTGTCTGTTTCCTCTGCAGAGCATGCTGTTGGAGTCCACACCAACAAATACTGCAGAGTCCTCTGCTGTGAATGTGGCAGGCATTCTGCAGTTGTCCTGAGGGCTCTTGAGGTCCTCGGTGGCAATGGCTGCTGGGCTCCTCTGCACATCAGGCCACTGGGGACCACAGTGGCACCACTACATGGCTTATACTGATAGCCTTTACCCTTCTTTTTTGTTCTTAGCTATTTCCAGATGTCTCAGCTGCCTCTGCAGTGACCCTTTCTTGCCCCACTGTGTCGCCAGAAGAGCTTGCTTGACTCTTCCCATATCCATCCTCCCAGAGCTGTTTTCATTTGTCCATAGCTGTCAGGTGCAGAAACAGGTTTCTCCTACTCCTATATCTTGCTCACCACTTTCTCCTTGTTCATTTGATCTTGAGTTGTCTAGTTTATTGTCATAAAGGGGATCATAATCTCCTATTACCCTTTGAAGATCTTTGGGATGGAGCTGTAGTGATGCCCCTCTCGCATTCCTGATACTGGTAATTTAGCTCTTCTTTCTCTTTTCTTCATCAGTCCAGCTAGGAGTTTGTCAGTTTTATTGATCTTTGCAAAGAACCAGTTTTTTGTTTGATTGATTTTTTTTCTTTCATCAATTTCTGCTTTTATGTTTGTTATTTCCTTTCTTCAGCTTGCTTTAGGCTTAAGTATTTTATCTTTTCCTAGTATCTTTTTAAGGTTGAAACTTCCTTGTAATGTAATCATTTGTTGGTAGTATGTGTTTGGCTGATAGTGATTTTAGCTTTTTCTCAAAACCATCTTACTGTCCTCTTTAACAAAAATGATTTTCTTTCTTTATGGAACTCATTTTTTTTCTTTCTCAGTACCCTAAAGAGGACTCTCTGGCTTACGTAGTTTTGGACAAGAAGTTCTTGTGTATGTAAATGTTTCTTTGTGCTCAAGATTTTCTCTTTACTTCTGTTTGTTTGGGGTTTTTTGTTTGTTTGTTTTGTTTTTTTAGCAATTTTACTGCTACATGCTCCTGGGTATGTTTTCCTTTGTAATTATTCTGCTGAGTTTCCAAGAGCCGGGATCTGCTGTTTGTGTTAGTTTGTATTATTTATATATTTATCTATCTTCCAGTACCACTAATTCTTTTCTTGGCAGTGCCCAGTATACTGATACACTTGTTAAAGGAATTCTTCAAATATGATAGCATATTTTGCTATCATTTATATTTTATTTTTTATATTTTTAATCTGCTTAAATTCCCCATCTAGTCATCTATGCTGTCTTACCTTTTTAAGACAGCCTTAAATATATTAATATATCCTTTAATATATTAATCAAATCTTTAGTTGGGCCAGGTTTGGATCTGGTGCTTGTTCTGTATTGGAAGGCCTAACATTTCATGTGCTGTCTTGACATTTATGAGCCTCACTGGGCCCCAAAAACTTAACTGTGAGTTCCACTGCTCTTGCTGGAGATGGCCCTCCAGCAGGAAAGGCTCCTCATCTGCTCTGTTTTACTAGCATCTCCCCGCCCCTCCTTCAGCCTTTTGGGTTTCACTTCCCTGCCAGCCCACGAATTACTCAGAGAAGCCAGTCACCTCCTCCCATGGGAACCCTCTTTAGAACCAGGCCATACCTCACCCTCTTGTTACACAGAACCTCACTCTCCCAGCCCCTAGTGACTCACTGTGGCCCTACACGGTGTCATCGTCCCCTGGGATGTGTGAGTAGCTGTGACTCATAAACCACTGTCAGTCTCCTCTCTTTTGAATTTTTCTTTTTTTTTTTTTTTTTTAGAAATTTTATTATTTATCTGAGAGAGAGCATGAGAGGGGAGAAGGTCAGAGGGAGAAGAAGACTCCCCAGGGAGCAGGGAACCCGATGCAGGACTTGATCCCGGGACTCTGGGATCATGACCTGAGCTGAAGGCAGTGGCTTAATCAACTGAGCCACCCAGGTGCCCCTCCTGTCTTTTGTCTTCAGTGTTGTGTGTTGTACGTCTGGCCACCTGATACTGTTTGGAGGGGCAGGTCCATCCCTCCGTGAAGGGGTGAATAGCAGGTGATCAGAGCACCCACAGACTTCAGATTCTTAACTGGGCTCGATGAGGGGCCTGGAATGTGGGAGGGCTTCTTCGGTATTCCTGTCTCAACCTCAGCAGGCCCTGTGCTATGGGGCCTCTCTCCACATTTTGATAAGTAGTGTTTTCATTTTTGTTCCTTCAACGTATTTTCATTTTTCATTCTGATTCTCTTTTTGACTCATGGGTTATTTAGAGGTAAGTTTTGTGATTTTTTTTTTCCCATATACTTTTGTTACTGAAGTCTAGTTTAATTCTGTTGTGATCAAAAAACATACTTCGTAAAAAAAATCAAATCTCACATTTTTGACATGTGATTGATTCTGATCCCAGTATATGTTCCATTATGGTGAATGTTCCATGTGCTCTTGAAAAGAAGAGGTATTTTGCTATTTGGTGGAATGTTCTATAAATGCTACTTAGGTCAAATTTATTGATGGTGTTATTCAAGTCTTCTGGAGCCTTACTGATTTTCTGTCTACCTGTTCTGTTATTGAGAAAGCAGGATTAAAAGTCTCTAGTTATGATTGTGAATTTTTCTGTTTTTCTTTTTCAGTTAATATAGGTTTTGCTTTAATTATGTTGAAGCTTTCTTATTGGCTACATACATTGAGGATTGTTACCTTCTAATGAATTGACCCTTTTATCTTTACATCATGCCTCTTTATGGTAATATTCCTTGTGGTGAAATCTGCTTTTTCTCCTGTTAATATTAGCACTCCAGTTTTATTTTATTGATTACATGGTATATCTTGTTTCCATCCCTTTATTTGTACCTTATTTATGTCCAAAGTAGGCTATGTAAACTAAATATAGTTTAAAACCAGTCCAACAATCTCTACCTTTTACTTGGATTGTTAGACCATTTACCTTTAATGTCATCATCAATAATGTAATTTTTGGTTTAAAACCAATCCTCTTACCATTAATTTTCTGTTTGTCCCATTGTTCTGTTCTTTCCCCCTTTTCAAAATTATTTAATTTTTTTTAAAAGATGTTATTTTATTTTAGAGAGAGAGAGAGTAGGGGGAAGGGCAGAGTGAGAGCGAGAGGCAAAGAATCTGAAGCAGACTCCACGCTGAGCGCGGAGCTGGATGGGGGCCTCGATCTCATGACCCTGAGATCATGACCTGAGCTGAAACCAAAAGTTGGACACTTAACCGACTAAGCAACCTAGGTGCCCCTTTAATTATTTTTTTTTCTAGTTTTCTCTCTTCTGGTGGCTTACCAATTAAACTTTTATTTGTTCAGTGGTTTACAATATGCATCTTTAATGTTGTACAGTCTACCTTCAGTCAAATCCAGTTGGATCACATAAATTATAAGAACCATCTGACTGGGGTACCTGGCTGGCTCAGTTGATAGAGCATGTGACTCTTGATCTTTGGGTCATGAGTTCAAGCTCCATGTTGGATGTAGAGCTTACTTTAAAAAAAAAAAAAGAAAAAGAGAGAGAGAGAAAGAAAAAAAGAACCATGTGATAATACACTTCTAGTTCTTCCCTCCCATTCTTGTGCCTTTTTCATCATACATTTTACTTCTGCCCATGTTCTAAATCCCACCGTGAATTATTGCTGTTTTTTCCTTTAGACAGTCAGTGATCTTTTTAAAGAGATTTTTAAAAATATATTTTTTCCCCATATTTGTTTATGTATTATTATTTATTTCCTAAAATGTTATTATTTCTGCTCCTCTTCATTTCTTTGTGTAGATTCAAATTCCCTCACCACCAGCAGGGGCTTTCTCAGGTTTCCTGCTCTGGGCCAGTTCTTTCTGATGAACACCTGTAGGAGATCTGTGGCAAATGTGGATGGATCCCCCTGGTGTCTGGAGCGCCCATAGATGCTAAACAGTTGCCCTAGCTCACTGTTGACCTTTAGTAATTTGGCAAATTTTTGGTTGTTTTCTTCCTTGTTTTTATTTGTTATCTTTGTGTGTGAGTGTGTGTGTGCTTTTCCAAAGTAAAAATAGTTCGTGAGTCTCCTGAGTCTAGTGTTTATTCAGAGTGACTTTGGAGTTTTCAGTTCAGTTGATTGTTTTGCAACTTTAGGTCTGTGGTGGGCTCAAGAATTGAAGTGGTTCCATAGATTATCTATTTTTTTTTTCCCCCTTCTCATTTTTAGGGTGGGAATGACATTCTCTTGTGAATTTTATATCCTAAGAAGCAGCACCTGAAATACACAAAGGAACCTGAGAAATTCAAAGTACAGAACAGTAAAGTCTCTGTTCTTTCATGCATTCAGGTCTCTTGGCATAGAAGCTCCGTTCAGCAAAGGCTATTTCCTAGCTGTTTTTATCATTTAAGCTTCAGTTGCAAATCACAAAATCACATAAGCTATTTTAAACAGAATGGGATTTAATTTTGGATAATTGCTTTTTATAGTTTTATATATATTATATATACCTAGTATCTAATATACAATTTTGGATAATTGATAGGGTTGGAGAAGTAGGCTCCAGGATGGACATCAGAACATTCCACAGAAATGGTCCAACAGGGGAGCGCCTACCTCTGCCCCACCCGGAAGTGGGAAGCTGCTGGGTTAACCTCTGTTCCCGGACTACACTACTTTAACCATGGTCTTGGGGTTAGGAAGCCTCTAGGGGAGCTGATGGCTCTGGAACAGTTTTATGCCTCTTAGCTCTGCTGCAGCTAAACAGATTCCTGTGCACCCTTCCCTCTATGCTGCTTAACTCGCTTCTGAATTTAGGTCTCCTACATCTGTTTGTAAGAAATAAATCACAAGGGAGTCTCAGAAATATATTTCCATTGTAGCCTTCCAGTATAGGAAAGTGAACTTGAAGGAGGTTGGAAAGCCATAATTGCAAACAAGAGAATCCATCTGAGTGAGCTAGTTAAGGAGAGAGGGATTTATTACAGGGTATGTTGTGGGCTAACGGAACCTCCAGGCGGGTCAGGGATCTAAGTTTAGATGCTTCACAGCCAGGTGTTTTGAAACCAAGGACGAACGAACGAATGAACAAACCCTGCAATAGTGCCCCTGCCACCAGTCTTGTCTGATTTCTGCTCCAACTTGACTCTGTCAATAAATGCCACACATTGGGGTGCCTGGCTGGCTCAGTCAGAAGAAGGTGCAACTCTTGATCTCAGGATCATGAGTTCGAGCCACACATTGTATGTGGAGATTACTTAAATAAATAAAAAGTAAATGCCACATGTCTAGGCCTGTTCTTTGAACACTTTACTTCCAGCCTTTGTATGAGCTAGACCACTTTTGATTATGGATAAGAGAAACTCAGCCTCACCCAGTTTAGTATAACGAATAAACAGGATTGGTTGTATTAGTCAGGGTTCCTAGTTGCTAAGTATGAAATTCACTAAATCTAATTGAAGCAGAAACAAATATATGGTATTAGTTTCTCACAGAATCTCTGGGAAGACTAGAGAACCAGGGTTGGACACTTCATTTCCAGGAACAGTGGGGATACCCATGTCCTCCGCTAACATCCATGATGTTAGCACGGATGACTGAAAGGTCAACACAGTTACCCTGGAAGAACATATTTCAATTATCATTTTTTTTTTTTTTAGGATTTCTTTACTTATTTATTTTAAGAAAGAGAGTGAAAGAGAGCAGGGCGAGGGGTAGAGGGAGAGAATCCTCAAGCAGAGCTTGATCCTGGGACCCTGAGATCATGACTGGGGCCCAAATAAAGAGTCGGACATTCAACTGACTGAGCCACCCAGGTGCCCCTCAACCATCATTTTTGGCAGACAGTTCATTCTCCCTGCATGCAGCCTCGTCCTTAAGTTGCTCACTTCTCTATCCGGATGTCATCTTCTCAGTTTGCCTAAACATGACCTAAACATGACCCATATGTCTGCATCTTTGGTCCAGGGTATCTGGGGGAAATGTCCCTTATAGCTTTAATGAAGGCAAGCTGATGCAGATTGGAAGTGGGTATGTAGGATCTGCCATCATCCCCCACTTTGGTTCCTTAGCATCATCCTTGCCTTCTGTACATGCTTCCTTTCCTAATAGCAACTTTGAAACAATTGTAATTATCCCTGAATCATTAGAAAATGTGGTACCATTTCCATGACTGTCCTGAGGTCTTGCCACATGAGGTCTTGTGGTGGGCTCCTTACCCCAATCCTCCGACACTCTCCACCCCATCAGATTGGCCTTCTGGGTCCTAGAAAACAGTACTTGCTTTAGCCGTAGCGCAGACCCCAGTGGCGCTGCAGTTTGGCCCTTTAGGGAGGCCACAACTTTGAATTTCTATTGGAGTTGCCACCCCATTAAGCTGAAAATAGTTTCTTCTCTTAGAACTCCATTTGTTTTTTCTTCAGAGCAAACAGGTGAGTGAAACGTGGAGGTGATGAGAATGGTGCGGATATTGTTCCCGTGGGTTTCAAGCAGACGCGTAGCTGCAGGGCGGTGTGAGAAGTACTGTTTTGACTCTCCAGTCCCGACGGTGCATTAGGGCAAGCTCGCTAGAAGCCCGAGAGCACTGAGTCACCTTTCCATAAGGTCTGGCGCCACAGCTAAGGAGTGTGACTGTCCATAGTCATTTGTTGGAAGGTTTGATCTGTTCCATTTTACATCTTAGATGACTGACAGATTTCCCTTTACAGAGGGTCTGTGGACTATAGTCTTGGTTGTGGGTCTCATTAGTAGGAGCTCATTTGGCCAGTTTTGAGTCATCATAGGAAAATGGCAAAGGTGAGCTTCCTGCTTCTCAAATACAAGCCACACTCAGCTACACTGTCTCTCAGGGGTTTAGGTTTTTATTTCATTTACAACAAAGTAGGTGAAAATAAAGCAGTTTTGATAAAGATGAGAACCATTATGCCAGAGACCAAATGACAGCCAGGTGGAGCTGCATTTTTAGAAGTGTAAAGTAACTTAGGCTTTACCTATTTAAATATCGTTTCTAAAAATTGAACTTCAATCCCACCTGCAGCCCAAAAATAATTTTCCTGGGTAGGTCATGAGATATTTTCAGTCATAATGTTTATAATCTTTAACAAAATGGGAGGTGAGAAATGGAATGTGTTGTATTAGAGTCTCTGACTGCATATAACTTGCTTGGGATACCCTTTGCTAAAAATTAATTTTAGTTTTCCCAAACACTTCTCCTAGAATGAATCTTCCATGTGGATATTTGCCTCCTTACTTTTAAAAAGTGATTTTAAAAAGAAAATTTCTACAGTAGCTTGTTTTCCTTTATCATGTTAAATATTTTTTCAGCTCCCTTGGAAATCATTGACTAGCATCATTGAATATTATTACATGTGGAAAACTACTGACAGATACGTGCAGCAGGTAATTTCTTCATATTGCAACTAATACAATCGCATTAAAGTGAGCTTTCTGTTCATATCTTAATGTTTCTTAGCAATATACTTAATTTTAAATTTGTTTGCTTTATCTTTTCTGTACTATTTTAAACGATATGATTTCATGTCCTTAAGATATTAAGATTTTCGTCCTGATATTTTCTTTACTTCAGAAGAACCATTACGATAAATATTTGGAAAGACAGCGGGGAAAGATGCCACCAGAGAGGTGTTATTTTCCTTGCAGGAGCTTGGTGCTCCATCTCTTTGTGAGTGTAGCCGACAGGAATAATGACCTGAGATGTGAACAAGTCATTTTTATGGATTATTGGAAATTTAGGGGCGCCTGGGTAGTACAGTCTGTTAAGCAAGCTGCCTTCAGCTCAGGTCATGATCCCAGGGTCCTAGGATCAAGCCCCGCAACGGCCTCCCTGCTTGGCAGGAAGCCTGCTTCTTCCTCTCTCACTCTCTCTACTTGTGCTTCCTCTCTCATTGTCTCTCTCTCTATGAAATAAATAAATAAAATCTTTAAAAGAGTTTCTTTATTTGAGTGAGAGAGTGAGCAAGTGAGAGAGAGAGAGAGAGAGCACACAAGCCAGGGGAGAGGGAGAAGTAGGCTTCCTGCCCAGCAGGGAGCCCGATGCTGGGCTCAATCCCAGGACCCTGGGATCATGACCTGAGCTGAAGGCAGCTGCTTAACAGACTGAGCCACCCAGGTGCCCCTCTAAAAGTTTTAAGTTGTCCTCTTAAATATTTTGTTTTCTCCTCACTGAGAATATGGATGATTGCCTTATATTCTGGTTTGTATTCTTTTTGGATATCTACCATATATTGTTTGCCTTCCTTGTTTGTATTCATTTATGAGCAGTTTCTGGATATGATTAGGTAATCTTTCTCCCATTCCTTTTCCCAAATTTGGCTCCTAATTGGCTCCTAAAATCTGATGTGGGTTAGCCAGGCTTTAAAGTATATTACATCTCTCTTAACACTTGAGGGTAAATGATTATTTAACTGTACTTAGGGGAGTTGTTATCTCTTTCTTTCTCATGAACCTTGGAAACTAATCATTTCTAGGAAAAAAAATTTTTATTTTAAAGGAAAGAGTGTGTGTGTGTTTCTTCCAGAAGGGCAAAAAAGAAAGTATAAACAAAATTTGCAAAATAAAAATGGTTATTTCTAAATCCTGTTTATTCACTTGTGGAACAGTATAAAATAGACTTATTCACTGCTTTCTTTTTAAAATCTAAGAGTAAAGTGGTATTAATACTTGCAGTTCTATACCTCGGAATCTAGTGACTTGTCTTACAAACTAACGCAGTTTGAGAATATGTACATGAAAGAAAAGCCTTTGTTAAAATGGCAATTTTTGAATGATGTTTTAATATTTCATTTTCTTATGAATTTTTTAAGACAGTGAAGTGGTAATAATTACTAGGCATTGTATGTAAAATATTTTATCTATCTTTTGACTTAGAAACGTCTAAAAGCAGCAGAAGCCGAGAGTAAACTGAAGCAAGTGTATATCCCAACTTAGTAAGTAACAGAAATCTTTTTAAATATTTCTCATAGTGTGAATTCTGTGAAAACAAAATATGTCATTTTGGTCAATTTCAGCCAAATTTGAATTTCTTTTTGTCTCCTGTTTTCTGACACTACAAAGCACGAGACTTGCTTCCATTATATCACTACAGTGATTTTTTTAGAAAGAGAAATGGCGGGTGGGAGAAACCCCAGGTAGACAAAAGAATAAGAGGGAAAATGCCACATGATATACTTCTATCAGAGGTACAGGGAAAGCATCAGAAAAGTAACTTGTGAAACTCTATTATTTGAAACAAATGTGTTTCAGAAAGCTAGCAGCTTTTAAAACTTCTGTGTTACAGAATGGATTTGGGGGATGTGGTGTACATTGCCGTTTTGAGGTTGCTTATTTGGTTGCGGATTTTACATTGTTTGGGAGAACAGTTAAAGAAAGTAAGAACCATACTTTATAAATGTTGGAAAAATAATGAATAGGTATCAATTGTTTCACATGTCTGGTATTCTATCATCATTATCTTGGGAGCTTAGAGATCATTGTCATATCAAAATGAATGCCAGTTTGCTTTTCATTTGCTACATTTTAAATGAATTACTGTCTTTTTTTTTGAGGTCTTTAGAGTTCCAGCAATCATTTCTTCAGGAAAACTTAGTTTATTGAGCACTGTGTAGATAGGGCTATACTAGGTTCTTTGGGGATTAAAAGGAAATTTACTACAAAGTTTTGTGTGCTGCTCCAAGATTTTTCTCAGTACAGTTGTTTTATACCTAGGCTTTTGTTTACTGAATTTTGATATAGTAATAGACATTTGTATATATAGGAGGCCTCGTAGACAATGAATTATATCTTTTTTTATCTCAAGGCTGATAACATATAATTTGCAGGATTCATAATTTTAATTCAGAGCTGTAATGTCCCTTCTGGAGTGGTTTCCAGTATTTTAGAACATTTTATATTTTATTTGAGTAATTAAGAGAAGAACAACTCCCCAAAGAAAACAGTATGGTGACTCATATGTCAGGTTTTAGAAGCAAGTACAGCAGCTTTCTTGTGCATTGTAGTGCTGTTACATCAAAGGGAAAGTACATCTAACCCGTTTTCACCAAGTAACCCAGAGAATTGTTTCCGTATGTTTTGCATTGAATTCGTTGGAGTCTTGATCTAAGGCAAAGACCAGCAAACTATAGTCTACAGGCCAAATCTGACCTGCTACCCATTTTTGTAAATAAGGTGTCATTGGAACACAGCCATACTCATTCATTTATGTATTATTTATATCTGCTTTCATGCTTGGATGGCAGCATTCAGAGGTTGTGACAGAAATTGTAATATCCACAGAACTGAAAATATTTAGGATGCCAGCCTGATCTTAGTGAATGATGTTTAGAGATCAAGACAGTTTCTAATCATAACTTTTTAAAAGTTATATAAATCTTCCACATAAATAGAAGGTATGAAGTTATTTTGAGTTGGATAAGAATCTGAGTCCTTTGAAGAATTTCACAATTAACTCTGAAATCAAGTATTTTGAAACAAATAATTAAGAATTATTTTATGTTGCCATTTGCTTGAGCCCAGCCGTCTCCTGTATGCAGAGCACTCTGTTCACTACTAGAGGTAGAAAGGTTAAGAAGACAGCCTGCCTTCTAGTGTGGGGGAGGCAGATGCCAGACAGTCACCTAGTGTGGCAAGTACTGTGATGGAGAAGAATGGAATAGTTTTTATGAGAATTTGTACAGGAGAACCAGGCTCAGTTGATGCTGTCAGGAAAGATTCCTTGTGGAAGTGAGCTTGCGTGAACTCTGGAGAAGGAAGAGGAATTAACCAGGTGATGGAGGCTTTCCAGGCCAAGGAGATCCTGAGACTGGAAGGGCAGAGCAGTAGTTAAGGAGCTGAGACAAAGGTAGGAGCTGGTGTCTCTTAAGAGAGTGGTGAGCTGTGGGAGGCTGGTATTGGTAGGGCCAGGAGTTTACCCATCTGATAAACGGTGGAAATGGATTTTAAACAAGTAAGTGTCATGATCAAATTTGTGCTTTAAGACCACTGGCTCTATTTTAGATAATGGTTTGGGGAAGGGGGATAATAGTGGATGTAAGGGGACCCAATTATGAAGTTTTTGAAGAAGAAAGGTGACAGTAGCTTGACCTGGAGTTGTGATCCTGGAAATGGTACACCACTCGGAGGTGACCGACTTGTATGGAGGGATAGAGGGGAGATGTCAAGCTTGAGGTCCAGACTTCTGGACAGCACAGCTATGTGGATTGCTGTGCTTCACCAAGCTAAGAAACTAGCAGAGAAGCAGGCTAGGTCATTTTGAGTTTGCTCTGTGCAAAAAGAGGTGTTGAATGGGATGTCAGATATATTGGTCTTAAGTTCAGGAGAAAGTTGTGCTCTAGAGATACAGATTTGAGCTTCATCAGCATATAATACTGTGTTTGAAACACAGATGAGCTTTCTTAGAGGAGCAATAAGTAAAAAGGGTCTTAGACCAAGGCTGAAGGAATCCAGGATTTATGTATCAGAAAAAGTAGAAGAGCAAGGTGAGTACATTATCACAAAAGCTGAGAGAGGAGTGTGTTTCAGGGAGGGGAAGAGATTAATTAGTTAATTATGTCAGATGTTGGTGAAAAATAGCCTGAATTTAGCAGCGTGGCAGTGGGTCAGTGATCATCTTTAATGAAGTGGCCGAGGACTGAGTGTGAGCCAAGGAACTGCAGACTGTCGAGATGGGCAGCTCTGGGCAAAACTGGCTGGAAGGGTCATTCAACGGGGTTTTTCGCTTTGAGGGTTAGGTTGGAAAAGAGTAATAGAGTTTTTGAAGTTAGAGAAATATGTTTACATGACAGTGAAGAGGGTCCAGAGAAGAGAATCGAATGTACAAAATTCTCAAGAGGGGAGTAGGGATAGAATCTGGAATACAGACGAGGGAGGAGGGGTTTGGGCATTAGCTAAAAGGACAGTTTCAAATAATGCAGCTTTAGAAACTTCTTTTGTATGTTTGTCTTAGAATAAAAGTTTCAGATGGTCACATCGAAATCATCTGTAACCTGAAAATTAACCCGTAGGTACTTGGATTTGCAAAACGGATTTTAAATGATTCACATGTCTATGTTCATTGGGTCTTTGCGCACTTGTTTTCCTTTTATGATTATTACAGTTAAGTTCATTCAGTCAAATAACATGCAAAATTCAGTTGAACAGCTAAGGTTGTATTTGCTTTCATTCTTTTTTTCAGGCAGCTCACCTATAAATTTGTATTAGCTCTTTTTCAACACATATATTTAGCCCTGGGTTAAATGTCAGAAATTTTCATATTTTGGGGGAAGCCTTCTGGGATTCAGTCATTTGATTTAAGGGGACATTCTTTTTATCTATATCTAGTAGATTTTTTTTTTAAGATTTTTTATTTATTTATTTGACAGAGAGAGATCACAGTAGACAGAGGCAGGCAGAGAGAGAGAGAGGGAAGCAGGCTCCCCGCTGAGCAGAGAGCCTGATGCGGGACTCGATCCCAGGATCCTGAGATCATGACCTGAGCCGAAGGCAGCGGCTTAACCCACTGAGCCACCCAGGCGTCCCTATCTAGTAGATTCTTAAAAAACAGAAATATTATGTACCTTTGGAAATCTTAGTCGTTATAAGTCACCACTTCTAATCATGTACATTTTCAGCTGCAAACTATAAGAAGAGAAACGCGTTCTGGCTTGTTTAAAATGTGTTTTAAAAAATGATTTGTCTTCAAAATACATTGCTGGCACAGCTTAGAAGTGTAAATAATAGCCCTATTACAGAATGGGGACCTAGTGCACACGGAGGTTAAATGATTTCTTCTGAGGTGGTGGTGAGGCATCATCTAGGAGTTACAGTAACAATGCCAGAAAGAAATCTTAATTTGCTGTCAGGCCACATTTACACATTAGGCTTTCACTGGTAAATGGAAGTGAAGAAATAGGGAGCAGTAAAGAGGAAACTTCTGAGCCAACCCTGTGTTGAGATTCCAGGTGTCTTGGTAGTTGTGAACTCTCGTCATTTCAGTAGCCGTGGGGAGGTAGCGTATGGTCTGCATTTAGTCATTCAGCATTCATTGCTAGCAAATGGCTGACTAGTTTATTTTGCCTGGTTTCGTCTAACAGATGGGAAAGCTCCTCTAGAATGAAAGCTCCTTGAGATTAGGCACTTTGTTTACTAGGCACTGAATAAATATGTTTAATAAATTCTGAGTTTATTTGAGAACATGTCATGTGCACCTGTGTAGTATTCTAGAGCATGGCTTTATAAGCATGGGAGTTAGCTGACCCCACATGGGGAAAAGTTAGTTAGCCTTGTTTGCTCCAAGTAAGTACCAAGGTAATCTGGGCTCCCTGTTTCTAAGGCATTATGGCATCTGGGAAATTTGCATGTAAACCCTTGATAGATGTCTCCTTCTCGACCTAAAAATTTTTTCTAAAAAAGAAAGACCTCAAAATATACTTGTTAGCTTTTTAAATTTCAAGCGCTATGTAATCTTTCTCATAAAAAATCAGATGTTGTAGAAATTATTATCATGAACGGTTAAATCCCCTGAAATGCCAACTTATGTTCCAGAGATATGCTCTGTTGACACCCACAGTGTCTTTGTTGAACACGTGGCTTTTGTGCCGTTCCTTCAAGAGCCAGCGCACTGTCAACAGCCTCCACACCAGCAACAGGAAAGGCGCGGTGGTTTTCTCTAAACACAACACACTGCTTTTAGCTTAATTTATTTGATCCAAAGAATTACCTTTTATTCTCAGAAGAATCCATGACAAGTGTTAGAGGTTGGAACGTGTATCATTCAAAAGCATCAGAGGGTGTTCTAAGGAAATCGCATCCGGGTGAAGGAGAGCTAGTGGCTGTATTTCCTTTGTGCGTATCAGGAGTAAGAGATTGAGTCTTACACACCCTTGTTATGTACAGATGAATGGTTTGAGTTCATTTTGACACCTTACTTCTGCCAGCTTGTTTCTTCTTTACCAAACATTCAGGTGTTTATATGTAGTTAAGATAAAACAGCAGTGAGATGGAGAGGCTTCTGCCTTGTTATACAAGTCATTGTTATCACCTCACTTTATATTTCATTGAAAGCAGCAAACCAAATCCCAACCAAATATCTGCCAGCAATGGCAAACCTGGTGCTGTGAATGGAGCCGTGGGGACCACATTCCAGCCACAGAATCCCCTCCTAGGGCGAGCGTGTGAGAGCTGCTACGGTAAGTTGTCTCCTTCGCGGCCTGTGACGAGGCGCACAGCACTGTGCCGGCTCCGCGGGGTGGGAGGTGTGGAGCGGCCCTCTCGCTGCGCCTGAGGCGCACGGCTCAGAGAGCAGGACCGTGGGAGGACATGGCCACCCTTCCCTTTGGCCTGGACACTGACGTTTGGTCTTGGGTTTCCTCTGCTTTGCTTCTGTGGGGTGCTCTGTGGAGCATCCCACGGCAGTGTTGGCCAAGCTGCGTTCAGAGCTGTTGCTGGCTTTGTGCAGACCCTGTCCCACAGAATACACCAAATCCTATTTTGGAGTTTTTTAGTATACTTTGACAAAGGCTCCAGAAAATTCTGTCAGGAAGACCTGTGTGTGGATGAGGTGCTATTTGTAATCCTCAGACCCGGTTCTGTCAGAGTGCACTGGTTTGGGAGAAGCTGTCCTACAATGTTTGCCTTTGCTTTCAGGGCCCCCATGTATTTATCAGTATCTGTCCATCTCCGAATCCTATCAGACATGGGCAGTATTACAGTTGATTTGAGCTGGTTGTTAAATTGGTTTGGTGAGATGGAGTAATTGATACACTTTTTAAGAAACTTTTTATTTATGTATTCATTCATTCATTCATTAGAGAGAGAGCGTGTGCACAGGCACAAGCAGGGGCAGGGGAGCAGCAGAGTTAGGAGGGGGAAAGAGAATCTTAAGCAGGCTCCATGCCCAGTGCAGAGCCAGATGTGGGACTTGATTGTTACCACCTTGAGATCATGACCTGAACCAAAATTAAAGTTGGATATTTAATCAACTGAGCCACACAGGCACCCCAATGCACTTTTTAAAACTTCTTGCTATTTTATTGTCTCTCTCTTGGCTTCCTCTCCCCATTTTTTGTATTTTTAAGATTTTTTTTTTTTTAACTAATCTCTACACCCACTGTGGGGCTCAAACTCACAACCCCGAGAGTCGCATGTTCTACCAACTGAGCCAGCCAGGTCCCACTCACTTTTTGTGTTTTCATATATTAAAATCTCAAACAATAGCATAATCTGTTCCTGGACATCAGTGACATTATAATCCACGTTTCCTTACAGTCAAAGTGGCCTGGGGTGGGAGAGGGAAGGAAACGAATATTTATTCAAAGTCTACTTGGTGCCCAATTTTTTCTCTCAACAGCTCTTTGGAGGGGAACAATGTAGCTTACTGCCCTAAGGGCATGGGAAAGAGGGACATTGCGGCCTCTACTCTATACTACATACCAAGCTTCGCGTTAGAAAAGACTTTTATTAAGGGGCACCTGGGTGACTCAGTCATTAAGCTTCTGCCTTCGACTTAGGTCATGATCCCAGGGTGCTGGGATCGAGCCCCGTGTTGGGCTCCCTGCTTGGCAGGAAGCCTGCTTCTCCCTCTCCCACTCTCCCTGCTTGTGTTCCCTCTCTTGCTGTGTCTCTCTCTGTCAAATAAATTTAAAAAAATTTAAAAAAAAGACTTTTCTTTTTTATTTTTGTAACTAATCTGTGTACCCAGTATGGGGCTTAAACTCACAACCCCAAGATTAAGAGCTATATGCTCTATCAGCTGAAGCGAGGCACTCCTCTAGAAAAGACTTTTAAAACCAGGTCACATAGGGGTGCCTAGGTGGCTCAGTTGGTTAAGCATCTGATGTGATTTCTGCTCATGTCATGATCTCAAGGTCATGAGATTGAACCCCGTGTTGGGTGTGGACTCTGCTTAATATTCTCTCTTACCCTCTGCCCCTCCCCCCTCACTCTCTAAAAATAAATAAATAAATGAAAATAAAAACAGGTCATATAATCACCTTACCTGAAACCAAGGAAAGTATGATCCAGGCAAATTGCTGACTTCATAGAAATGGTACATTTCGAACCATTTTTCTGCACCATGGAAGCACAAAGTGAAATAATTTGTGGAAAATTAAATTCTTTTGGTGATAATTTTATATGTATTGTATCATGAGTGTCTTTGAATTGGAAACTCTTAGATAAGTTTATTTGTATTTAAATGAAAATAAAAAGAATCATGAAGACAAGTGGTGGCTTAATCTGTCTTATTTTTGACTTACCCCTTTTTCACTCATACGTAGTCTCACATATCCCTTTAAATAATTATTCTGTCATTTTTATGTGTGCATAACAAGTAAATGATTTTTATAATACTTATTTTAGACTCAGATAATATAAAATGTATCATAATATGCATGTAAGTTTTATCTTTATAGAGATAAAATTTGGTGTTTTCTTTTTGTCACATTTTTTAAAAGAAGATTTTATTTATTAAAAAAAGATTTGATATATTTGATAGAGAGCACACACAAGGGGCGGGGCAGAGGGAGATGGAGAGAGAGAATCTCGAGCAGACTCGTCAGCCTGATGCAGGGCTCATTCTCATGACCCTGAATCATGACCTGAGCCGAAATCAAGAGTCAGACATTGAACTGACTGTGCCACACAGGTCACTTTTTAATTGCATTTGAGTTAATTATGTAAGAGGAAAGGTGTTTGTTGACAAATACTAAAATGCCATGTCATGGTTAACTTGGGTAAAAATGTCTATTTAAATATGAGTGAAATTTTATATTCAGAATAAAAAATAGGTCCATGCCTAATATTTAGGATTCTTAAAATTTGTGTTTTAAAAAAATCAAATTATTTGAGTTATTGTTTCTAAATTATAAGAGGAAAGGTTTTGAGGCTGCTGTTTGCAAGGAGTCCACTAAAAATAACACACGATGGGTGCACAGTATTATTCTTCATAAACTAAGACACAGTTTGATTGTAACCGTCTGCATATTTTCTGTTTTTGACATTGGCTTGTGAAGGGTTAGTTGACACCTTGATGTAGATGTACTGTTTGAACATTTTGACCTGATGAAGGTAACTTACAAATCAGGGGGAAGGTATTCTGAGGCAAATGTAGAGAATTATAATAATTTTTATGTACTTCATAAAGTTAATGTTTCAGTGCCAGTGTTTCCTATCTTAAACTTCAGATCCATTGTGGGAATACGTTGCAGGTTATATGGCAGTAATTCAAAGAGCAGAACAAAACTGACAGCGGCTTGCAGCGTTTCGCTAAGTGATAAATCAGCCAGGTTATTAGATCTTAAGCATCCCATGATCTTGGCTGCATGTGCTTACTTGATCTGAACTTAAGTAGTCTTGAAAGGGATTCTGTTTTTAAGGGGAGAATTATTAAAATGATTATTTATGTTGTTCATTTAGTAAAATAAGGAAATGGAAAACAGTTACTTATTTCTGACAGATTCCTGCCTTAATTAAGTGGGGCCTCTCTCAGCACTGTAAACTCTGAGGTAGTTTCTGAACCATCGGTTTGGAGACCCAGACTTAGACTGTAAACACTAATCTAATAATAATAATACCTTTCTGATAACTTATTTCCAGAAACGTACACATTAGTCAACAAAACTCCCTCAGTAATAGCCCAGTATGTTATTTAGGATACTTCATCTAACAGCTTCTCTTAACAAGAGCCACAAGTACTTGATATATATATAAAAATAAATGGTTTAATGAATTCGGAGTCTTGAAAAATATGTGCATGTATTAGACATTTATGTTTGGTGAACTGGGGAAAGAAAAGTAACATCGTAAACTAAAGATGCCTTTGGAGTATTTTTAACATATTTGATGGTATGCTTATTGATGTTGCAAATCATACAGCACTCTTTGTTTGTTTTTTTTGTTTGTTTTTTTTTTTTGGTTTTGTTTTGTTTTTCATATTTTTCCTCTGTCTTTAGCTACACAGTCTCATCAGTGGTATTCTTGGGGCCCACCTAATATGCAGTGTAGATTGTGTGCGACCTGTTGGCTCTATTGGAAAAAATACGGAGGCCTGAAAATGCCCACCCAGTCAGAGGAAGAGAAGTTATCACCCAGCCCAACTACAGAGGTATATGAGCGTCAATCTTTTATGTTGAGAAATGTCATTCAATCGCTTGATACTCCTTGGAAACACAAGTACAGTACAGGATAACTTAAAAGCAAGCAAAGCTGTTTTTAATAACTAAACATAACACCATCATATTTAAGGTGGGCGTGGAGAGAGGTCAGGGACAAGTCACGTTTTTTCAGGTATTCAAAATATTGTTCTTGTGTGATTACTCAGACAAAGGAACAAAGTGTGTGGGAAGTGTCAGCCTAACTAGAGAGTTTACAAATTAAATGTTTTAATTGCTTTTTTTGAAAACAGTTTGCAACCTTTAAATACTGTCGGAAATATGTCTTACTACATAAAGTAGTAAATAGGAATTGAACGTTTTCCTGCCCCTGGGCTATCCTAGGAGGGACAAGAAGGTGGTATGGACTCAGTCTTAAGGTGAACAACAGGTGAAATGTGATTTTGGTAAAATTCTCATAGATTGCAGGTATAAGCACTTAGGTCGACCAAGAGGGAGACTTCTTTTTAAGGGCTAACAGGATTTCGGGACTCCTTCACTATTACAAAAATAAAATAATTAACCCCCTTGGCAGTTTTTTATGATTGTGAAGGTGATTTCAATGTCAATTTAAAAACCAAAGTAGAGGAAGGAGTGCCCTTGTTGTGACGAGCACAGGGTGATGTCTGGAAGTATTGAGTTCCTATATTGTGCACCTGAAAGTAATGTAACGCTGTATGTTAATGAACTGGAAGTAAAAGAGAAACTTAAAAAACAAAAATGCAGGATAACACAGCCTCCCATCCCTCCCCAGTTTTCTTCTCTACCTGCCCTCTTCTCAAAAATGCATAGCTCTGAATTTTCTCCTTTGGGGGTAGGGTGTTAAGTTATAGTTGCTTCAGCGGAAATGTAAAACTTGCCATTTCTTTGAGCCTGATGCCAGTGGCATTCTATCCTTCACGTGTCTGCCGATGTCTCCTTTGGCAGGACCCCCGCGTTAGGAGTCACATGTCTCGCCAGGCCACGCAGGGGATGCCAGTCCGAACCACGGGGAGCCCAAAGTCTGCAGTGAAGACTCGCCAAGCTTTCTTCCTTCGCACTACGCACTTCACAAAATTTGCTCGTCAGGTCTGCAGAAGTACCCTCCGGCTGCGGCAGGCAGCGAGACGGCCGTTTGTTCCTATTAATTATGCTGCCATTAGGGCAGAATGTAAGATGCTTTTAAATTCTTAACCTTATGTGTTGTGCTTCTGACCATTTTCTCTCCTCGCCCATCTCTCTTTTTTGTTTGTTTTTTTTTGGTTTGTTTTGTTTTTGTTTTTGTTGGCAATAAACATAAGTTCTTGTGTACAGCCTTTTATTTGGTTTATTTTTTTAACATTGTTTTTGTCTGCTGCCATTTGTATCATGCCAACCTAAAAAGGAGACACTGGAAGTCCCTCTGCAGAGTGGACAGTGCTCAGCAGAGAAATGGGAGGAGGTACCCTTGTCCAGGGAGGTCTTGCTGGGGTGGGATTGCCCAAGCACCCTTCCGAGAAGGCACTCGGACCTGTAAGGTCGTGCCGTGATGTAACCCCGAAGGACAGTGTCCCGGTGAAGCCCCAGAGATGAGACATGCAGTCTGCATGGCCTCATTAGGTTTGAATAAAATTTGCCAATTTACATTCATTAGAAATTGCATGTCTTTGTAAATCTCTCATTTTCCCACGAACCTTTTACAGTCATACAATATTATGGAAATTCACAGGGTTTCATAACAAACACGATTGTGGACGTTATTGGAAGATGGAGCAAATTATGAATAGGTTTTAGTGCCTTTGGGTGACTTTTCTGAAAATACATATTTAGTTTTTAGAGGCTAGTGACCAAATTTATGGTTGAGCATTCTTTCTATTTGTCCGATTTGGTTTCCATTTCATAATCATACATATACTACTGCATACCATGTACATGACTGTTACTGTCATTTTCAACATGCTCAGTCTTGCTTATGTTTCTTTTTTTTTTTTTTTCATTAGAACAAAGGTCATGTGTATCAGTGAATTGTGGGTGGTTCTGTTATTACCATGTACCCCTAAAATGTATCCATACTTCATGTGCCAGCTCTGATTCTCGTCTTGCCATGTTTAGTCCCAGGCCTGGCTGCCAAGTTAGAGCCATGCAACTTTCTCCCTTAAAGGATGAGCAAACTTGCTTCTGGCTTAATGGATAGATAGGAAACCTTACAGACATCCAGTAGATGCTCTTTCTTTGTGAGAAAAAAAATTTCTCGTTATGGGATGTTCCATTTTGATTTAAGAAGAGTATCCATATAAGGAGTGATAATTGAAAATCATTTTTTGTTCCCTGAGATGATTTTCAGCAGAACGGTTGAAAGGCTTTACAACTTACAGGTAAAAGCTTTATAAGGAGAAGAAAAGTGCTTTGTAAAGAGGGGGGGGAAATGGCACTGTTCTCTGAGTCCCGTGGAGGGGAATTTAGCTCCATTAGACTCATGTGTGTTTGGAACTTAGGCTGTTACTGATATTTCGTGCTAGCATCTCTGAGTGCATGGATTTATGCTCTTACCATTTTCTTAACCATTTTTAAGGAACTGGAAAATATTTGCATCCATCCAGACTGCTTAGCTGATTTAGAACACATTGATAGAGTTTCTTAACTAAACAGGATAATAAAACATATGAGAAAGAGAATTGAGTGAAATTCTTCCATTAAAATTGGCCAGGATCCAGTATCATCTTTGTTCCTATGAATGGAAAAGAAATCATCACCAACTAAATTGGCAGCTGAGGAAGCTTCTGTTTCCCATGGCTCCTCTGTTAGTTTCTCAGTTAATATGCAAATTGCCTTTATTTTTATTATTCTTCAATGAAGTGTATTTTACTGTTACCTCATTTTATGTATTATTCCTCAATTGAAAAGCCATACTACTAAAAGGGGGGGTCAAAGTTAAATTACATGTGTTTTATTTCTATACTCAAATAGCTATAATAATAATGATGAAAGAACAGAGTCATTTGGTGTGATGATATTCAAGGAGCATATTTTATTTTGCATTTTCCTTTTTTGGTCAAGTTACATATGGAATCACATTCTCAATTTTACCTTGAAATTTAGAATTACAAAGTTTCAGCAGCCATCTACTGTTTTTTGGTTTTTTTTTCCCAGACAAGGAACTAATAAACTCTTCTAGCATCTAATTGATTCTTACATCATCTTCTCCAGTCTTATATGTACCTCTTCAACAGATCCCTTGATCTTGGAGAAGATAAACCTTTAATAATTTGATATCCATAGGCAACCGTGTCTGTGGTCCAGCAGGAAAGCATAGGCGTATTGTTTTTTAGTTAGCTTTCCTTGGTTTCTTAAGGGCGACGGTGACCCCCATCCCTCCTCAAAAAAAGTTAATCCCTGTGATGCAGTGTGAGTCTACGTTCAGATGAGATGAAAGAAGATAGGGATGGATGGATCAAGAGCTCTGATTGATGCATTTTAGAGTAATTCTTCATAATATTCAGGAAGGTCAATAGTTTTCCCTGTAAACTTGAAAGTTCTAAGCACTGTAGAAGCTGACCCCTTCCACGGCTTCTGGCCTTCGCAGCACCATCACAATCAGTGTCCTAGCCAGAGTTCACGGGATGACAGACTGTGCGAGAGTGAGGGGAAGAGCTAAGGAGACAAATTCTCAGATGGTGCAGAGCATAGTGGTAACTGAGTGCTTGGCTTACAAGTTGATTATTTTAGAGGACATTTCGCCCGGGGGTGGGGGCTTATTACAATAGTACTCTTCTGGCCTTTTATTTTTGTTAAGAAAATGGTATTAAAACAGTAGAGTGAAAGGGGGAAATTTTTGTAAACCCTTAAAGTATCACAGAGAAGACATAAGAACAAAAGATGTCCCTGGGAAGGGAAGCTGGGAGGCTAAGGCAAAGGGGTGAGGTGGGAAGGAGTCTCCCCCCGTTTATTCTTTTAAACTTTTTCAGTTTTGAGCCATGGGAATACATTTCTTTTTTTAAAGTTTAAGATTTTATTTTATGTATTAGAAGCATGAGCAGTGGGGATGGACAGAGGGAGAGGGAGAAACAGACTCCCCACTGAACAGGGAGCCTGATGTCGGCTTGATCCCAGGATTCTGGGATCATGACTGGAGCCGAAGGCAGATGCTTAACCGACTGAGCCACCCACGTGCCCCGAGAATACATTTCTTATTTTAAAAAATAATTTTAAAAACTTAAGTATACAGTTTGACACCAACGTGTTGAAAAATAAATACATCCAAGAAATACAAATATATATATAGAGAGAGAGAGAAGGTGATTTTTTAAAACCAAATTCCCCAAATTTCTCTCTGTTTTAATAATACGCCTTTATATGTAATAAGTCCATTACAATAATGACTAACATCAGTACAATTCCTGAGCCTGTTCTACCATGGAGATAGTGCTTATTAAACAGAAAGATATTGTGTCCTTGACACAATTTGCAGACCGATAGCATGGGTTGTCAAGTCTCTGACAGCCTGTCTCTTCTCCCCCAGCCCTTGGTAAGAAAGTCATGATTTGTTAATGGTGTTCTTTTCCTTGGTTCTTGCCATCAAACATGACCACTGAGCTTTCTGAGGACTTTATCAAACATCTGTACAATCACCCATCACCTGATGAGCACAGGGTTACTATTTGAGATTCAGGAACCTCAGAAACTGAGGTTGAGTGGAAGTAGGTATGTTCACAGGACTCCGTAAATGAAGCCAAAGTCCCTGGAGAAGTGGGTCCAAGTGACTGACCTGTCACCTCTGTAGCTTGCATGGGTGACTCTGGTTTCTGAGTTGATAACACCAAGCTTGAATGACCTAGTAAGCAGTTCCTCAAGTGGCACCTGGAGCCACATTCTTCTGTTTGAAGATGCTGATTCAGCTTTGGAAGTATCCCAAGGGCCTGCATTCAGAAGCTTTAAAATAGAAGTTTTCCTAGAGATGTCTCAGCAGAAGTTAACTATTAATAATTGTATGAAGTTGTGTGAAATTTTAAGCTCTAATATTAGGTGAGAACAGGTTTGGTTTGGGTATTTTAGGTAGTTTGTTTTGAATAAAAATTCATTTTTGAATGGACACTTTAAATTTTTCTAAGGATACAAAAGCAGCTACAAATCATATTGCCATTCCCATTTATACCATCCTCAGAGGTAACCATTGTTATCCTGTCTAAAGTATCCAGAGATCCTCTATCTATACCAGTCTAAGTAGGTGTATTCTTTTGGTTGTTGTTGTTTTAATACAGGTGTTAATGTCCACACTATCCTGCACCTTCCTTCTTTAGTTAACAGATCTCAGAGGCCACTCCATACCAGTACACTGAGAGCTGCCTCCTTTTCTTATCAGCTGCATAATAATCTGTTTTATACTTTCATTCCCGATTAAACAGATTTTTGGGTTATTTCCAGTCTTCTCTATTACATGTAATGTCGCAACAAATATCGTTATACAGATAGCATTTCATATTGGTGTGTGAAATGTGTGGGTGGGTCACAAGACAGACCCCTAAACATAAAATAGCTGGATCAAGGAACGTGATTTTGGAGTTTTAATAGTCACTACCCAGTTAGTTACCCTTAGAAAAACCACGATTTGCGCCCCCATCCCCAACGTCTAGGGAATGCCTATTTCTCTAGAACCTTGCCAGCAGTGTTCTCCATCTTTGAAACCCTTGACTAGTTGACAGGTGACCTGTAAGTTATATTAGTTTCATTTCTCATTTTGAATGAGATAGAAGTCTTTGCATATATTTGAAAACCATTTGTTTTTCCCTTTCTGTCAGCTGTTTTTGCCCCTGGCCTGTTTTCTATGAGAAGTCTTACTGACTTGTGAGAACTTTTTATATTTTAAGGACGTTAGCTTTCGATCTGTGATACACAGTGCAAATATTTCCCCCATTTTGCCTTTGACTTTGTTTATGATGTATTTGTCAAGCAGGTTTTTTTAAAACATAGTTGAATTTATTAATTTTTTTAAAGATTTATTTATTTTGAGGCAGAGGGGAAGAGGGAAAGAGAATCTCAGTCAGAGCCCCCACTGATCGTGGAGCCCAACATGTGGGCTGGATCCCACGACCCCGAGATCATGACCTGAGCAGAAACTAAGAATCAGATGCTTAACTGACTAAGCGACCCAGGTACCCCCCCACACCTCTGATTTTCTCTCTCTCTCTCTCTTTTTTTATAATGGCACCTGGATTTTGTGTCTTTAGAAATTCCTTTGCAATTCCTTGAAGAAAATTCTACGGGTGGTTCTATTTTGATGGCAATCTTGGAAGCCCATGTGAATGTTTTTGTGAATTTTAATTCAGTGTGTACTTTTTGCAGTTTTTCTATTTTATTCCCACACACACATATTTGCAAAACATTTTAGAAAAAATGGCTGTGAGTTGCAATGAAAGCAGCAGTGTTTTTCCAGGTTTACCTCAAGGAGCTGTACTCTAGGAAGCCAAAGAAATGTGCCTGTGTGCAGTCGAATGACTTGGGTGAGATGCTCATGTTTTCCCTTTTCCTGGGCAGATTTGATTCCTTCTGGGGTCTTGGGGGATCTCTCAGGTTGCTTGTCTCATCTGTGCACTTTTGATGCATACTAATGAATTATCTCTGTCCAAATAGAGTTAGGTGAATAATTTGACTGATAAGTGGCACCACTGGCCTGCTCTTGAGGGGAGACCAAGATTCTGTTGAATCAGCTCAATTGGACCTGATAATCCCACGTGTATGATCATTCCGCCAGGGCAGAAGGTATTTTTCCCATGCATATTCAGTGTATCTCATGGAATAGATGCAATTTTTATATTCAACAGTGACTAGGGAGCCTTAGCACTTTCTGTCCCAACTTCTTCATAGCGGAGACTGAGCATTCTTGCCCCCAATTACTTTAAAATGTAATGGGGACTAGCGATGCTTCTAAAGAGCTTTGATCGGGGCGCCTGGGTGTCTCAGTGGGTTAAAGCCTCTGCCTTCGGCTCAGGTCATGATCTCAGGGTCCTGCATCAAGCCCCACATCAGGCTGCTCAGCGGGAAGCCTGCTTCCCCCTCTCTCTCTGCCTGCCTCTCTGCCTGCTTGAGATCTCTGTCTGTCGAATAAATAAATAAAATCTTTAAAAAAATAAAGAGCTTTGATCGCCCACTCAGGTGCTCTGTAAACTGTCCCTTGGAACATCACATAATTAATGCTACTGATTTGATGAGAAATTAAGAGCAGATTATGTGGTTTAAAATGAACTATCTTTGGGTATTGTGTTGGTGACCCTTTGATAGACTCCCTTTTGTTGATTCTTATCAAGGTGATAGTTCTAGGGGAGCCCATCAATTGTAACCACACTGACAGTTTTCCTTTGGGCTTTATTAACTGGAATAAAATGCAAAGTTAATCTTATTACTAGTGGGGCGCCTGGGTGACTCAGTAGGTTAAGCCTCTGCCTTGGGCTCAGGTCATGATCTCAGGGTCCTGGGATCGAGCCCCGTATCGGGCTCTCTGCTCAGCAGGGAGCTTGCTTCTTCCACTCTCTCTGCCTACCTCTCTGCCTACTTGTGATCTCTCTCTCTCTCTCTCTTTCAAATAAATAAAATCTTAAAAAAAAAAATCTTGGGGCGCCTGGGTGGCTCAGTGGGTTAAAATCTCTGCCTTCGGCTCAGGTGATGATCTCAGGGTCCTGGGATCAAGACCCGCATCGGGCTCTCTGCTCAGCAGGGAGCCTGCTTCCTCCCTCTCTCTCTGCCTGCCTCTCCGCCTACTTGTGATCTCTGTCAAATAAATAAAGTCTTTAAAAAAAAAATCTTATTACTAGTACTGCAATGGTTGCCTTTGTCCAGAATATTGAGGAAATACAAGCTGATTCAAGCTTTCTCTTATTAATAGAAAGGACAGAATTTTCTCTTGTCCTTATCCCAAGTAGAATTAGTAATATGAGGAAGGAATTATTTAGTATCCACTCACCACAATCTGGCAGAGGTTTGATTTGTGTTGCTTTTTAATGTTTGTTTAGATTACTCCTCCAAAATATGCTCGGTATATTTCTTCCTTTATCTTCACTGTTACTCAACAACATGTGAAAAGCTGCATATCTCAGTAATTTTTTTTCTCCAAAGGAAATCATCTGAGTAAGGAGGAAAAGAAATCAGATCATTTATAGGTGTCCAGGGTTGTATAATAATTAGCCAGTGCTTAGGATACATATTCTGATTCCTATTTTCTGAGGCTCCCTGCAGTGTGTGTCTTATTTTAGATGTTTTCTTTCAAATGCTATTTTCCCCACTCCTTTCTGTTTAATAGTTAATAGTTAAAATAGTTTCCTTGGTGAAAGAGAGGGCTAGAACTTACAAAAAAGTCAATTTTTAATTTTCAGTGATTTATGGTTCCAGATTGAATTGTATATTTTAACACTAACGGTGCAGAGAGAATTCCTATGGATGTCAGGAAATTTCCTGTATGTACACCTAGAAATGTGGTCTCACCACAGAAAACCAGTAGGGCATTTTTGTCAAGTGTTGGAAGGTGGGGAAAAGGCATACATGTAGCAAAATAATATCTGCTAAAACTACTCTGTTAAGTTTTATGACTATAGCTGCAGATTTAAAAAACATTTCAATGCTTTCTTTTTTCTTCCCTCAAACTCTATTTTTGTAACTTAGCTCCTCGGTATTGAGAGCAGCCCTGTTCCACATCTACTCTTCCATCCTAATGACAACTAATTAAAACACAGAGAGTGTGTGTGTTGTATGCCTTACGTTTCTCTGTCAGAAGTGTCTTATGGTAAGGTATGAGGAGTGTGAGGTGAACTTTATGAACACTAACAGCCGTTCCCACAGTATTTTACTGTTCTGACTACGTACAGGCAACCTTTTAAAGCTCAGGACTGCTGCCATCATAGGACATGAAGGATGGCAAGCAAGTGATAAAACCGATGACCCATGTTTACTCTGGTGAGGTAGATGAAGACAAGATAGATGAAGACTTCTGAGTAGTCAGGGATGGCCAACTGTGCTGCCTTTGTCTGCTTTGTCATTTTTGCCTTCTATGCCCGCCCGGTTAATCTTACATTAGGACTGATTTCACTCATCCCACGTGGAAGGTTTTCTAGTCTGAGGAAGCTATGCCATGGCTAGGAAGGAGGCATATATCCACTGTTTTTCAGATGGAAACACACAGGAAGCAAGCACGTGTGTGTAAGATGTGTGTTAGTGGCATTCACGAGGCTTTAAAGCGAGCGTTCTCCAGGTACCTCCTTCAGTAATTTGGAACCAGAACTAGGAACGGTTTTCCCACACCCCCCAGGAAATGATGCAGGAGTCTGGTGGGTATTTCCCACTGTCTTCCACGGGCACCTTTTGTCTCTGCAGTGTGTGTAGAATAGGTAGCGAAATCAGCCTCATTGGTTGTCTCCATGTTTCCTTCTCTCCTCAGATGCAGACAGACATGCCGAGCTATCTGGAAGTCCACTGAAAAGCAAAAGCACTAGGAAACCTTTGGCATGTATCATTGGGTATTTAGGTGGGTATTTTTTCTAATAGAAGGAAAATTTCAAAGAACAATTTTTGTATCTTATAAATATTTGGCTACTCTAAATCAAGAAACTAAATCTTAAACGAAATCTTAGCCTTTCAAGTAGCTGAAATTGGATGCTTTCATGTGTATCATCAATTTATTTTGTTTTAGAAGCTTTTATTTGTTATTACCAAAACATATACACATAACATATATACAAGGTTATGGATATGTTTACTTTTCCAAAAAAATCAATCAAAAATGTAATGTATATTTATGGATATAAATACAGTTTGAGCAAAAAGAGGAAAATAAGAATCACTAGATTATTGTAAGATGAATATTCTTAATGTTTTGATTCAGATCTTTCCACTTGGCTTTTAATGAGATAAAACTCGTTCCAATCTAACTTAAAAAAAATATTTATAGTTTTGATGTTCCAATTAAGGTTACTTTGAAAGGGGAGCATTTGTATTGCTTTCTGGTTTTTACCATCTTATTTAACTTGGAATTCGCCAAAGATAATGACTCCGTATCTGTGTTGAAATATCACCATTAAGAAGAGCATTTTTAAAAATGACTAAGCAATATGTTTTTGGTTTTTGCAAAGTTTTAAGGTAATTTACAAAATAATCATTTCTAAAATGGTTCCTGATGTACCTGGAAGCTACACTGACATGTTTTTAGTGCTTCTAATATACTTGCTTTTTCATTTTCTGGGTAAAAGTGAGAGGTGTACTCAAAGTTGCAATTGAACTTTATTGCTCTGTCAGAAAGATACACAGTTATGAAGTGATCAGACTCTAGGCACACTTAAAAATTAAAGTGTATCCTTGAACTTGGTATATTATCTGGTCTTCATCAGAGCATCCAAAAGTCAGAAACTTTGATTTTACTTGGTCACCTGATTTCTTGTTTTATTTTCCAGGGCCTAAAGAGTTGCTTTGATAGCCCCTAGAATATTCCCTCATTATCATAGGCAGGACCTAGGTACGTCATGGTGATCAAGTCCTTGAAGTCTGCTACCTGTATTCCCTTGCAGGACCTAATCCTACAAAGCCCCTTCCCACCATGCAAGGACAAGTCTCTGATCATAAGAAATAGAATATAACATCACATATTAGTCAGTCATTCTGTGGGTAATTGTGTGTTCCTCCTACAGATAAATTGGTCTCTGTGCCTTCCTGGTAAGCCCAAAGCTGTGCTATTCTTACCCTAGCTGAACCACATCCCCACCTAACATATTTCTGAGTATTTACTATGTACAGGACACTATGCTAAGTGATTTGGAGGAACGCCAAGATGAATTTAGACTTTGCCCTCAAAAGTTTTAGTCCAGTGGGGAAGGCACACAGGTAAGGACAATTAAGCAAAGGATTAGCTCCTATAAAAGAATGAGAGGTAATATTGAACACTTGAAAGAAAGAAGAGTTATTTCTGATGAGATTTGGGGCAGCCTACATGGAGAAAATAGTATTTGATCTCACCCTTGAACAATAAGTAGTATTTAAATAGATAGAAAAATAGGAAAAGAATATTTTTCTCTTTATGAGGCCAAGAGAACTTGATGAACAAAGGCTTTCCTGAGTCCAAAGGCTGGTGGTCTGGTTTGGATGGAGTGTAGTGTGGAGGTTGTAATGAAAAAAATGGGGCTGGCAAAGTTTCAGCCCCATGTTGGAAAAAAAATAGCATCACTGTGTATTGGTTAGCACTTGATCTGTTCCTAAATTTTGGCAACTGTAGATTTTTGACCAGACTAAGTTATAGTAATTCTAACAATCCTAACAGCCTTTCCTAAATTTCGGGCAATGAGGCGGCTAACCTGGCCCTCCCTTGAGAAGACAGGGCGGCTCGTGCACAGGTGGTGGCTCCGAATCAGGGAGCAGCCTTGGCTTTGGACAAGACATTGCCCAGTAACAGTAACAGACTGAGCTCCTTAACTCCAGTTCCTGCAGACTGCAATTTCTGCCCATCTGCTTTATCCAAAAAGTGCAAGTAATTCTAGGCTATGTGGCTGACAACAGCACACTTCATGTAAACACACACATCCCACGTGCACATCACCATTCTGTGATAGATCCTCCATCAAAGCTTTTCTTCTACTACCTCTTGAGTCTAGAATTTGGAGTTTGGTGTCAGGTCACAGCTACATCAAAACGTTCTGGAGTGGGAGTGATTAACCCTGGTCCTGTACCCTCCTCGCAGAGCCAGAGGAAGAATCCTGCTTTCCAGAAATCTCTCACACCTGAGACCTGCTGCATGCTCCATTTCTGGTCTGATAGAGCACTGAGTTCGTTTTCTTGGAGGCTCCTTCTCCAGATAACCTTTCGGTTTCTAAAACCTTGAAGACTTAGCTGCCTTATTCCCTTGGTAAATCTGGGCTTTAGCGACCCTCTGAAGTGCAAGTGGCGTTTTTTTGTTGTTGTTTTCGTTGCTTGTCCCCCAACGGTGAAGCTCAGAGCTCAGCAGAGGAAGCAGCAGCTCACTTTTGATAAGTAAAGCCATGGTAACAGCACTTGAAGCTGATTCATTATGCAAGTCCTTGGGAAAACAGGCTGGGACATAAGGAACTGACTCTCAAGCTCATTAAGAAATAAGATGTGTGCTTATTAGGCAATGTAAGCGCGCACAGAGGTTTTTAATACCATGTTCTGAGTTGAGAAACCTTTTCTCCCCCTGCCAGAGATCCATCCTTCGAAGAAACCTAATGTAATTCGAACTACGCCAAGCCTGCAAACCCCCACTACCAAGCGGATGCTAGCCACCCCGAATCACACGTCTCTGAGCATTTTGGGGAAAAGAAACTACAGTCATCACAATGGCCTGGATGGTATGTAAGCCCAGGAATTCTGGGGGCTGAGCTCGTAGGCCAGGGCCCCTCTACCCTTGTCCGCTCAGAGCATGTCCTCTGCCCAATCCAAGACGTGTAGCAAACAGGTTCTTCTACCCTCTAATCGAACTGAACGTGCGGTGAGGGGATAAGAGGGAAGGCTGCCGTGTGCCGCACGGCACTTGGCACTTTTGCCAAGTGATACGACCTCACCATCCCCTCAGAAGGGACCTTTTGGCCCACATTCCCTGTGAGGAGGCCTGTTTGGAGAGGAAGTCTGTATTTATCAGGTTGTCTCTGCTGGGTGATAATGTGTTTGCTGGATGCCCGCTCGCTGCTCATTTATGTTTTCTTGAGCAGAAGGGATGATTTCACCTTACGTCTGAGGCAGCCGTGCTCTCTGGGCGGTCTTCGGTGTTCTGTGGATCATTTTGGATTTGGCATCTGTTCCTTACCTCTTTCATCTTATAAGATTTTTTTTTAATTGCTCAAGAGTGCTACAGGTCATGAAGGGAATTGCCTGGGTGATGTCTTAAATACAGAAATAATAATTTGTTTGAAATGGGAAAGCTGAGAAATATCACCTCTTATCCCAAGTACTTCCCTTGGGATTGGGCCACATAATGACTCTTCAGGTGGAATTGAATTATCTTCCCATTTGGACTATAAACACAAGCATAATAAATCATCCAGGCAGTATATATTGTCCATTTCAATAGGCCTAGAATTTGAAGCTGTCTTGGTGGTTTAAATGTTGGCATTTATTTATGAGTAATACTCTCTCCAGGCTTTTCATGTCTTCAGGGCCTCTAAATTCCTTCAGTGACAGTAAATTAGTTATAATGAGGCCCTAGAGCAAGGATGTGAAATGGACCTCCTGGTAATACTTTCCCATGGTTGTTTTCCTTCAGTGACTTTTCATGGTCATAGTGATGTCAAAATGAATAAACAATTGAGGGTGAAGAGTTTAATTTGCATTTATAGGTTATCAGTGTTGTTACAGATATGGCTTTCAAGAATTTAGCTACATAGTAGTCTTGCAGAAATACTTCCTTGCTAAACAAGGACATGACATTGGCCATCCTTGCCACAATACAGCCGATATCTAGACAATAGAAGACTAAGGACAGATTGTATCAAAACTTCTAAATTTCTAGACTGGATTTCTTCCCAGCTTTTTCTTGCCCACAGCCTGGGGCTTTTGGATTCAGGCTTAAATGGAATCAGGAATCTTTCTTTTCCATGTCATCACCTCCCTGGTCTCTGGAGGTATGTACTGTCCAACCTCAGGAAACAGAAATAAAGTTCTGGTTCATACATATACACGTACAATACACACGTTAGGGTAAGGTGTGACAAGAGTTGGAAGAGCAGCTCTCTACTATCTTTTTCCACTTGTGCCCTATGGTCACAGTCACTCCAGGCCCCAGTCCTAGCTCCTCATGACAGCTTGCATTGCTCTTTCATCACAGGTACCTGTATCCTTAGAATTTCTAAAAAAGGCCACCTCATGGTGTCCCCTCTCTAGGGCTGTTTGTCCCATTTCCTTCTAAAGATTGTTGCTGCAAGGTCATTGCTTCTCTGCTCTGAACGGGAGGAATGGCCAGGGCGTGCAGTGAATCCCTGGGGTTATGTTAACTGAGACCTTCAAACTTGTTGAGGAAAAGACATCCATCTCATTTTCTGAAGCGACTTAGGGGTTGAAACACCTCTTTGGGGGGGCCTGGGTGGCTCAGGTGGTTGGGTGTCTGTCTGCCTTTGGCTCGGGTCATGATTCCAGGGTCCTGGGATTGATGCCCGTATCAGGCTCCCTGCTCAGCAGGGAGTCTGCTTCTCCCTCTGCCTCTGCCCTTCCCCACCCCCCCCCCATTCTCTCTCTCTCTCAAATAAATAAATTAAAAGAAAGAGAGAGAGAGAGAGAGGGAGGGAGGGTGGGAGGGAGGAAGGAAGGAGGGAAGGAAGAAAAACCTTTTTCTTCACACCCTTCTGTCTTTGCTCTCCCGGCTTGGAAGGCTGATGACATGTTACCTTACCTGTGTTATCTCATTGGACTCACATGACAGAAGGTTCTAGGACGTCAGGGAATTTAACTGCTTTCATAACATTATATTTCTACTGCTTAGCACAGTGCCTGGAACTTAGTAAGTGCTTGATGTTATGAGTCAGCAAAGTAGAAAGCAGAGAAATTACAGCTAATTTAACTTAAGAAGTCAATAGGACAGGTATTGGAGGACAGGAGAGGTGAACAGGAACATGGTGGGGGGCACAGGAAGCGGCCGCCATCCCCAAGGTTGGGGATGAAGTCTTGGGGGTTCTTCCTTTTGCCGGAGGCTCAAGGAGGTGGGAGGAGCGAGAACTGAGGCCCCTGAGGGAAGGCGCTGCTGGCAGTTGCAGCAGGTGTGACGAGGCTGGTTCCGGAGCGAGAGGGAAAGCCGGAACGGAACAAGCATCAGAGGGCCGTGAGGCTGAGGGGAACAGGACAGAGGAAGCGTCTTCACCGTCTTGCCGTGCAGGCTGGCGCCCCCTGCTGGCGCATCAGGGAGCCGTATGGCCAAAGAGCCGTGTGTCTGCAGGGTCCCAGCCCCCGCATCGCCCAGGCTGTTTAGATGGATGGATGTGGGGCTGAGAGACAAATGTGATGGAAACACACATTGCAGAACATGTTCCCACTTCTGTATTCCTGGTGGAGCTTTTCCTTGGGAGAGGGTCTGTTTCTTATTTCCTCGGGATATAGGATCCAGACTAAACATGAGTTTCCAAGGTGAACTCAAAGGACTAGAAAAAAAATATTAGGCTGATAGTGAGTTTTCATGGGATAGTCAATACCGTCATTTACTGGAATTGATGAATACAAATTCATGGAAAAGCCTCGCCCTGTGTGATCCAGTCATAAAATCAATTAGTGTTGCTACTTAATTATCAACGTGTCCGACAGACAAGCACACCAAACAGGATGTTGATGGACAGAACTAATTTAACTGGAAAGAAAATCTGATTGTGCAGAAATACCCAGGTATCTCGGCTTTAGGGCTTCCTGTCCCCTTCTCAGTGGCTCGTCCCCCTGCACTCAGCCTCTACCTCCAGTTGGAGGTTCACAATGATGGGAAAGGAGGCTCTGGATTCCTGTTGGTAGAAAGGATTTTTACCTGACATTTTAAAAAAAAATGATGGACACATTCTTATCATCTTCCTCAAAGTCAGACTTTTGTCAGGTCCTGGCCCCTTCCTGGTGGTTAGGAGTCCTCTGTGTCCCCTGTTAAGTGTAACCCACGGTCCCTGGCCACACATCCCCCTTTGTGATAGCCCTACTGGAACTTAAGCTCCAAAGGTGAAAACAGAGTCTGCATACATAAGAGGCCTCGTTATTTGGGGTCAGTAATGACAGAAAAAATGAAATTTCAAAACAGAGATCTACTTAGTCCCTTCCCAGTCCCCTACACCTCATTCTTTCCTGTCAAGCTATTGGTCCACTGGTGTGCCACATGCTGTCATGTGCCTTCCAAATCCTGTCTCCTTTTCTGACTCACGGATGCTTTGACGATGTTCTTATTGCCAGCAAACCAAGTACCTACCGCATTTGACCCATTTGGTTGACTCTGTGTGTCTGTGGATAGCAAAGGCCCTGAGGTCAATGGGGATAGGAGAGCAATTACTGAAAGGTCTTTCCGTGTCTGAGAGCCCAAAAGAGAGGGCAGCAGGGGAAATTGAATTTATCTGTGCCATGGGGGAAAAAAGTGCCTCCCAGTGTTTGGAATCAGGTGGGATAAACTGCCAACTTCTCTGATTACTTCCTGTGCGGTCTTGGGTGAATCACTTAATTTCTTTAAACCTGTTTTCTCCTCTGTAAAGTACAAATTTCATTTGCCTTAATGGAGTAGTGATAATGGTTAAAAATATTTCACCTACTTTAGACCACTTGATCTCCGAAACTCCCTATGAGGTAGGTGTTACAACCTGCCTTTTAATAGTGAAAAAACCCAAGCCCAAAGAGGTTAAGGGATTTGCTTACAGCCATTCTTCTAACTAACAGCAGAGATGAGATTTCAGCTCCCATCCAGGGTTGTTTCCAACAGGTGAATAAGGACCCAGATTTGTGTGCTGAGTGCAGTAAGTACCTGGGAGACATTTATGTTTTCTGTGTATTGGAGATGAGTGTGTGTTTGGAAATACAGAGAGGAACATAGCAGGTATTTTTCTGTGCTTAGCCTGTGAGTTGTAAGCCAGCGTTGTCTGATTAAAGCTTTCCTTCCATTTCCTGCCTCTCTGAAGCTCTTCTGTCCATAGCACACCCCCTACTTTTTCTGGAATGGAGAGCATAAGAACTTTATTAGTGTCGGAGAAAGAGGAGGAAAAAAGAAATAAGAGAAGATTCACAGAACCACCTAAAGGTGAAACATGTTTAAGTTAAATTATATGGTACCCAGCATCGACTCTGATTCATGGTAGATATTCATTAAGTGAAAAGAGTCTGTTGCCTCCCACCCTTTATTTATTTATTTTTTTAAAAGATTTTATTTATTTATTTGACAGACAGAAATCACAAGTAGGCAGAGAGGTAGGTGGGGGTGGTGAGCGGGCTCCCCACTGAGCAGAAAGCCCGATGCGGAAGCTCGATCCCAGGACTCTGGGATCATGACCTGAACCAAAAGCAGAGGCTTTAACCCACTGAGCCACCCAGGAACCCAGGCACCCCTGCCTCCACCCTTTAAAGGAGCTATTACTAAAGTTTTATTTTGAAAATTGTTAAGATATCAACCAAAGTTTTTGTAGTCATATGTGGACTGTATGTAAATAAAATGTCAACACTTTTCTTATAACCACATTTATTTTTTTACCTAAAAATATGATTTTCAAAAAATGACTCATGGGTTTGCTTGAAAGTAAATGGGTATGTTCCAAAGCATTTTTGCACATTAAAAGGGCCTAGTATCTGTAAAGAGAAATTGCCTTCAATTAAGTTATTTGAAGTTATTTCCTGAAGACAGAAAATTAGTTTGATA